CTGCTGGCTGCACGCAAACCAACGTACGAGCCACAGCCCGGCTGATCAGGAACCGACTTTAGGTGCTTGTCCAGTGCCAGCTTGAAGACTGCCAGGGGTCTGTTGGTAATCCCCCTTATGTATGCTGGGAGGAAGTTGAACAGTCTCGGGCCCCTAACACTTATTGTATGGTCTCTTAACGTGCTAGTGACACCCCTGCTTTTCATTGGGGGGATGCTGCATCGTCTGCCAAGTCTTTTGCTTTCATAGTGAGTGATTTTCGTGTGCAAGTTCGGTACTAGTCCCTCTAGGATTTTCCAGGTGTATATAATCATGTATCTCTCCCACCTGCATTCCAGGGAATACAGGTTCAGGAACCTCAAGCGCTCCCAGTAATTGAGGTGTTTTATCTCCGTTATGCGCGCCGTGAAGGTTCTCTGTACATTTTCTAGGTCAGCAATTTCACCTGCCTTGAAAGGTGCTGTTAGTGTGCAGCAATATTCCAGCCTAGATAGAACAAGTGACCTGAAGAGTGTCATCATGGGCTTGGCCTCCCTAGTTTTGAAGGTTCTCATTATCCATCCTGTCATTTTTCTAGCAGATGCGATTGATGCAATGTTATGGTCCTTGAAGGTGAGATCCTCCGACATGATCACTCCCAGGTCTTTGACGTTGGTGTTACGCTCTATTTTGTGGCCAGAATTTGTTTTGTACTCTGATGAAGATTTAATTTCCTCGTGTTTACCATATCTGAGTAATTGAAATTTCTCATCGTTGAACTTCATATTGTTTTCTGCAGCCCACTGAAAGATTTGGTTGATGTCCGCCTGGAGCCTTGCAGTGTCTGCAATGAAAGACACTGTCATGCAGATTCGGGTGTCATCTGCAAAGGAAGACACGGTGCTGTGGTTGACATCCTTGTCTATGTCAGATATGAGGATGAGGAACAAGATGGGAGCGAGTACTGTGCCTTGTGGAACAGAGCTTTTCACCGTGGCTGCCTCGGATTTTACTCTGTTGACTACTACTCTCTGTGTTCTGTTAGTGAGGAAATTATAGATCCATCGACCGACTTTTCCTGTTATTCCTTTAGCACGCATTTTGTGAGCTATTACGCCATGGTCACACTTGTCGAAGGCTTTTGCAGTCTGTGTATATTACATCTGCATTCTTTTTGTCTTCTAGTGCATCAAGGACCTTGTCGTAGTGATCCAATAGTTGAGACAGACAGGAGCGACCTGTTCTAAACCCATGTTGCCCTGGATTGTGTAACTGATGTGTTTCTAGATGGGTGGTGATCTTGCTTCTTAGAACCCTTTCAAAGATTTTTATGATATGGGATGTTAGTGCTATCGGTCTGTAGTTCTTTGCTGTTGCTTTACTGCCCCCTTTGTGGAGTGGGGCTATGTCTGTTTCTTTTTAGTAACTGTGAGACGACCCCCGTGTCCATGCTCCCTCTCCATAGGATGGTAAAGGCTCGTGATAAGGGCTTCTTGCAGTTCTTGATGAACACGGAGTTCCATGAGTCTGGCCCTGGGGCAGAGTGCATGGGCATGTCATTTATCGCCTGTTCGAAGTCATTTGGCGTCAGGATAACATCGGATAGGCTTGTGTTAACCAAATTCTGTGGCTCTCTCATAAAAAATTCATTTTGATCTTCGACTCTCTGTCTGGTTAGTGGCTTGCTAAAAACTGAGTCATATTGGGACTTGAGTAGCTCACTCATTTCCTTGCTGTCATTTGTGTAGGACCCATCTTGTTTAAGTAAGGGCCCAATACTGGACGTTGTTCTCGACTTTGATTTGGCATAGGAAAAGAAATACTTTGGGTTTCTTTCGATTTCATTTATGGCTTTTAGTTCTTCCCGCGATTCCTGACTCCTATAAGATTCCTTTAGCTTAAGTTCGATGTTTGCTATTTCTTTGAACCTGATTATTTCTCTGACCTGATTATATACACTTGGAAAATCCTAGAGGGATTAGTACCAAACTTGCACACGAAAATCACTCCCTATGAAAGCAAAAGACTCGGCAAACGATGCAACATTCCCTCAATGAAAAGCAGGGGCGCCATTAGCACGATAAGAGACAACACATTAAGTCTCAGGGGCCCAAGACTGTTCAACTGCTTCCCAGCATATATAAGGGGGGTTACCAATAGACCCCTGGCTGTCTTCAAGAAGGTGCTGGACAGGCACGTGAAGTCAGTACCTGACTAGCCGGGCTGTGGCTCGTACGTCGGGTTGCGTGCGCCAACATTAACAGACTGGTTGATCAGGCCCTGATTCACCATGAGGCCTGGTCACAAACCGGGCCGCGGGGGCGTTGACCCCCGAAATCCTCTCCAGGTATAACATGGGGGTTTCTATATAGTAGTACGTCATTGATGTCAGCTAGGCTTGTATACCTTGTACATGTACTTGAAGAAATGCAGTTATTATTATTATTATTATTATTATTATTATTATTATTATTATTATTATTATTATTATTATTATTATTATTATTATTATTATGTAGCTCCTTCGGGAAGTTAGTTTAGTTTAATATGTTTATTATGCACCCCATACCCATCCTGTGGGCGGTAGTCAAAAGATTACAGAGGTACATAATTGGTCCAGGGACTGGGCCTCAAAGTTTTGATAGCTGAGCAAGTTACAGAGGTAATGAATTCACAATTTACAAAGGTAATGAACTCACAATTTACAAAGGTAATGAACTCCAGGTAGGTCTAGTCACAATCATGACAAGTTACAAAGGTATTTACAGACTACAGAGGTACACAATGGGTCCAGGGACCGGGCTCCAAAGTTTTGATGGCTGAACTAGGTACAAGGTAATGAACTCACAAGTTACAAAGGTAATGAACTCACAAGTTACAAAGGTAATGAATACTGTAAGAATGGTTACTTACGTTTATACATGGCTGCAATCATGAAAAAATTTTAGAGTAATGAGCAATTCACACTTCCACACCCGGTCACAACTGTAGTGAGTTATTGGTGCAAATGTTGATTGCTGAGTCTCTCTCTCTCTCACACACACACACACACACATACAAATTCATACACACACACACATAAACACACACACACACACACACACACACACACACACACACACACACACACACACACACACACACACACACACACACACATACACACAAACTCATACACACACGCACACACTCATACACACACACACTCATACACACACACACACACACACATGTTTGGAACCCGCACTTGATAAAGCACGTCAAGAAACTAGAGAAAGTACAAAGGTTTGCGACAAGGTTAGTTCCAGAGCTAAGGGGAATGTCCTATGAAGAAAGATTAAGGGAAATCGGCCTGACCACACTGGAAGACAGGAGGGTCAGGGGAGACATGATAACGACCTATAAAATACTGCGTGGAATAGACAAGGTGGACAAAGACAGGATGTTCCAGGGAGGGGACACAGAAACAAGAGGCCACAATTGGAAGTTGAAGACACAAATGAGTCAGAGAGATAGTAGGAAGTATTTCTTCAGTCATAGAGTTGTAAGGCAGTGGAATAGCCTAGAAAATGACGTAGTGGAGGCAGGAACCATACACAGTTTTAAGACGAGGTTTGATAAAGCTCATGGAGCGGGGAGAGAGAGGGCCTAGTAGCAACCGGTGAAGAGGCGGGGCCAGGAGCTAGGACTCGACCCCTGCAACCACAAATAGGTGAGTACAAATAGGTGAGTACACACACACACACACACACACACTCACACACTCATACACATACACACAAACACACACACACACACACACACACACACACACACACACACACACACACACACATGCACATATGTGGTAATGCTTTATTTACAGCTAGCAAAGTCAGGGTATTTCTCCAGAATGGTCTGTAATATACCACTGTGGATAAAATACTTAGCCATTTCTTGAACACTTCTGAATGAGTTGTTTCTAAATTCATTAATTTTATCGCACTCCAGTACATAATGACGCAGGGTGTGACAATAATCCATCTGGCAAAGTTTACATTTCGTTTGGTCTACATCTGGTGGTGGTGATTTAACCTGCCAAAGATACTTGTAACCCAGCCGGAGCCGGGCGGTAGTGACATCCAAGAGTCTGCTTATTTTGTTGGATGCACCATAGACATGTGGCTCCTCCTGCATGATAGAATGATGATAGATGGACTCACTGGTGTCAATCTCCCTGAGCCTTAAGTCCATAAAATTCAGCTGAAGTTCTTTTCGTATTATTGTTCTCAAACTACTACCTGACAAGCCAAGATTGTAATCTACTCCCTCTTGGAAAGCATACAGCTTAGCCAATTTATCAGTTCTATCATGCATCTGAAGACCAATGTGTGATGGAATCCACAGCATGTGCACTCTGACTCCACTGTCCACAATCCTACCATACCTGTGTCTGGCTTCTGACACAAGCATGCCACAATTTATGCTTAATGAGTTGAGAGCATTTATGGATGACAGAGAATCAGTTACAATTAAACTGTCAATCTTTGATACATAGATGCATTTCAGTGCAAGGTGTATGGCAAACAGTTCTGTCTGAAGGGTAGAGGCCCAATTATTGATGCGTGCTCCAATTTCTTTAAGAGAGCCATCACTCTGTACGACAACAGCAGCACTACCAGCTGCACCAGTGGATTGGTGAACAGAACCATCAACGTAAATAATATGCGAGAGTGTGTGCTGTGTGACTAAGTTATCAATACAGCTTAAGGCCTCATGTTCGGGAAGTAAAACCTATTTAATTATTCAAGGACCCCCAATGGAAATAAGTCACCTTGTCTGATCTTTTTTGTGTTACCCTAGGTAATCTTCATATATACTGCTATGTATAATAACTTATGTAACAATATGTGTGCTTGAATAAACTTACATACTTACGTATATATATTCATGAATTTCTTTCCTTACGAACGCACGTTAATGACGTCAGAAATTGTTATTGTGACGTCACTGAGTGTTCTCCTGCTGGTGCTGAGGAAGAAGAACCTTCAGTAGTGAGTGGCTAGCTGGCTGGCTGGCTGGCAGGTGAACGTAGTGTATCACTCACTGACTCAGACATGAGCTAGCACTCAACACTGGCCTCTCCTTCACCATGGACTACAATATTGGTCGACGTGTGAGAGGTAAGTATGAGTGCAACAAGGACACCATATGACAGTCTTGTTATGACAGTCTTCAGTAAGAACTCTGGCATGAGATAAGGCACAGTGATATTATTGGGTTATCTTTGCTTGATTTACACGTACCTTACTCTTATGTGTGAAATAAGGCACAAATGCAGCATTGGGATTTTTTAACGAGGAAATATTTCTCAGTCACGAAAGGCTACTTTAGTTCTGAAATGTTTCTTCAGTAAAATAACCAAATAACACACGTCTTGTCACTCTTTTATACCATATATTTCACGTTTGTCAGTATCTTATACCATATATTATTTCACATTTGTCAGTATCTTATACCATATCCTTCAGTTGTTTCAAGACAGTTGTCAGAATCTGAACTTGTTTTCTTGAACCTGAATAAAAACTTGGCTTTCTACCATGAAAGTGGACCAGTAGTGACAGCGTCTGTCACCTGCTGCTGGCTTTCTTTTGTGCCTGTCACTATTTTATTTCATGTAAACTACATTGCCTGTATACTGCAGAAAAGAAATAAGTAAGTTTATTCAGGTTTAGGTATGCATAAATACAGTTACATAAATTATCATACATAGCAGCATATGTGTAGATTACTTAGGATAACCCAAGAAAGTCGGATAAAGTGACTTATATCCGTTGATGTCCTTGTAGTATCTTATTATTTAAACCTTAAAAGTTAAAATATCTAAGTAACTGAACTCTGTGAATAACAGTTACAATGAAAGGAGATATACTAAGAATAAGGTAAACTGAGTTATTTACATTAAAAAGAGGATCAGTTCACAGTAATAGGTACATGAATGTTGGCTATACAAGAAATCATACTTCTTCCCTTCTGTAGCGACATTCATTAAGTACCTTTTGGTTCTCTTCACGAACTGGCATATGCTATGACAGGCTTTGACATGTGCAGGCAGTCTGTTCCACTCCTTTATTGATCTACAATAAAATGTGTTTGAAGCCTGACCACCAATTGTGGGTACTTCAAAGTTGTGTTCCCTTCCCCTAGTACTATAATTGCTTTGGTTCCCAGCCTAAACAAACTTGGCAGCAAAATAATCTGGACACTGTGAGCAATTTTAGGAATGTTATTTAACCTCGGTTGTTTTACTCTGTCTTCAGCATTCAGAATATCCAATTATTGTAGTTGATTTTGGCCTACATGCTCTCTTGAACTCAGGTCCAAGATGGAATCTCACCATTTTGTTCTGGGTGATTTGTAGTCCCTTTCAGTTTATTTGTTAAGGCAGAGTACCATGAAGAGCAAAAGTAATCTATATGGCATTGTATAAGATCTAAAAATGGGGGTCCTGCAAGCCTCAGTAGGTAGACACTGCCTGTCTATAGAGGAACTAAAGTCTGGCATTCTTTATTTGCTACACTGTTACCTATCAGTTCTCCTGACATGCTTGGGTCAGAGGGGATTTCCAGATACATATTTCACTGACGATATTGAAGTGATGGGTTTCCCATTACACTGGACATTAAAATTAGTTACCCTTTCCAGTTTATCTTTCGTTCCTTTTGCTGCAGTACTCTAGGTCTAGTGATAGTACATTTTAAAAGAAGTAAATGCTTTCCAGTAAAATTAGGCCTTAGACTATACCTAGATACCCGTTAATTATACAACCTACGGCAACACGGGTTTAGAGCAGGTCGCTCCTGCCTGTCCCAGCTACTGGACCACTATGACAATGTCCTGGATGCTGTAGAGGATAAATAAAAATACAGATTAATATACACAGACTTTGCAAAAGCTTTATACAAGTGTAACCATGGTGTAATAGTGCACAAAATGGGTGATAAAGGAATAACAGGAAAAGTTGGTAGATGGATCTATAACTTCCTGCAAATAGAACACAGAGTAATAGTAAACAGTGTAAAGTCTGAGGCAGCTATGGTGAAAAGCTGTTCCACAAGGCACAGTATTCTCTTTGTCTATTCCTCCTCATATCTGACATAGAGTTGTAAGCCATAGCTCCGTGTCTTCCTTTGCGCATGACACCCGGATTGCCATGACAGTGACCTTCATCGAAGATGCCACAAAACTCCAAGCAGACATCAGACAAATCTTCAAATGGGCCAATCAAAACAATATGAAGTTCAATGAAGAGAAATTTCAACTATACTCAGATATGGAAAACTTAAGGAAATTAAAACTGGATCATGGTATAGGACAAATTCTAATTATACAAGAGAGAGAAAAGTAATGTGAAGAACCTGAGAGTGATAATGTATCTACCACATCTGCTAGGAAAATGGTAGGATAGATAATGAGAACCTTCAAAATTAGGGACTAGGGACATCAAGCCCATGATGATTCTCTTTCAAATCGCTTGTTCTCTCTAGGCTGGAATACTGCTGTACACTAACTGCCCCCTTCAAGGCAGGCAAAATGGCTGACCTGGAGAGTGTATAAAGAACTTTCACGGAACACACAAGTACGATAAGGCACCTAAATTACTGGGAACGGCTGAAGGCCCTTGATTTGTATTCCCTGGAATGCAGGCGAGAGAGATACTTGACAATGAACACTTGGAAAATCCTAGAGGGATTAGTACCAAACTTTCACATGAAAATCACTCCCTATGAAAGCAGAAGACTTGGCAGGAGATGCAACATTCCCCCAACGAAAAGTAGGAGTGCCACGAGTACACTGAGAGACAACACAATAAGTGTCAGGGACCCAAAACAGTTCAATTGCCTCCCAGCATACATAAGGGGGATTACCAATAGATCCCTGGCTGTCTTCAAGAAGGCACTGGACAGGCACCTAAAGTCAATACCTGACAACCCGGCTGTGGGCCGTACGTCAGTTTGCATGCAGCCAGCAGTAACAACTATTTTGATCAGACCCTGATCCACTACGAGGCCTGGTCTCGGACCAAGCTATGGGAGCGTTGACCCCCAAAACCCTCTCCAGGTAATACCTTAGGTATACCTGACACTAACAAAGCACCGTCATCTGCATATAACAGAAGCTTATACTTGATACTGATGGGCATGTCTTTCGCATAACATAGGAGCAATAAAGGACCCAGAATAACAATAATTACATTATAATTATATTATACTGTATTTGTAGGTGTGGCAGTCTTGTTCAGTTTCATCCATCAAGGAATTCAACCAGTGTTGCTTTCAAAATGTACAGATTTGTTGCAAAATGTTTTTTTATTGCATATATTTTGAAATTCCCCTGGTTATGTAGATCATTTTGGCGAGGCTAAAACTGGAACTTAAAATTATTTGACATTGTAATATATTTATTTCTTTAAAATAAATTGGTTATTATAGTGTATATTTCAGTGAATATTACGGTATTATAATGGAGAAAACTTTCTATGGGTTGGAGACCTCCTTATGTAAAACATTTAAAGCAAACTAAAACATTTATCTTATCTCTTATAGTTCTTGTGAACTACAGTATTGTTATCACATGACAAGATAACAGCTACCCCTTGTCTGAGGACTTGCACACAACTGGTTCATCCTCAGTCACATCCTTCAACATGCCCTCTAGACACAGTGTTCCTTTAGGGGAGGATTTTAATTAAGGATATTAAAGAACTGAGTGTTCCTCGCTTGGATTTCTCCATGATTTAAGCTCGTGAGAGTAAATAGACTATTAATTGATGGAACAAATATCTGATATTACATTTCACTGGATTTTATAATTAACACACTTAACCCTTTCAGGGTCGCCAGATAGAGAAACTTTTCCCGATCATAATGACACCAAAAGTATGAAATTTGATGGAAAACTTGCGGAATTATGCTCTCGCGAAGTTAGCGGTCTCGACGATGTTTACGCATCGGCGATTTTGCCCACTTTGAGCTCTATTTTCGGCCAGTTCCATTGTACAGGTTTACGATATTATTTCATTCCAGAAGTACGTTCAGGTGCCAGTACTGAACGAATTTGTTCCCATAAGGAATATTGTGAATTAGATTAGTCCATTTCAGACCCCCAAACATACACGTACAAACGCACTTACATAAATACACTTACATAATTGGTCGCATTGGGAGGTGATCATAAAGCGGGGGTCCACTGTACTAGTCGACAAAAATCATAACTATTTCACTAGAATTCCATTTTTTCTATCGCATGAGTACAAGAAACCACCCATTTACTGATTTCAACTATCCAATAAAGTGGTCAGAATTTAGCAATTTTGCCAATTTCACACAAACTTCAAAAGATGCCAATTTCCAAATAGGGTCCAGAATAAACACACAAGACATTCCTGGCACTAAAATAACAAGTTCTCTGTTCATTAGTCACATCCCCAGGCCCCTCTTATATTTCTTTGGCTTTCCACTTTGAATTTTTATTCTTACAAAAAAATAGATTTACTGTTATGCAGACTACTGCATTAGTGTAGAAATGGTATAATTAATATCAGCGCACTTGTGAAAGAATATTAGACTCACCAGTTGACGTATATTGGACGCTTGGCATGATTTGTTTACTTTTGAACTTTGGTAAAAATCAAAGATTTCTGCTATTTTGAGCTCAATTTCAAAGTACTTTTCATTGTAAAAAAAAGTAAAAATCATCTCAATTTCTGTAATATGTCTTCCATTCTATAAAATGAGACCAGGAAAACTAGAATACAACCATAAATACCATACTAAAATAGTGTAAAGTCGCTGTTTTAATCCAAAAACATGGTCAAAGTTTTTTTTTCCTCATTACGCACTGTGTGCTGCAGGATTTTTTTATACTGCGCATACTGACCACATAGACCCATTCTTTCATATGTAGACCTACCAGCTTTCTCTCACTAGATTTGAGGGCGCTAGAATTTAGGCGTACTAGTACGTCAAAAACCCTAGGGCGTAAACCGTACTAGTACGGCCGAAACCCTGAAAGGGTTAAAGGAATGGATCTTAATAATAATATTTTTATTTACTACAAGTACATGTACATGGTATACAGGCCTAGCTGACAACAATGACATACTACTATATAGAAAGCCCCT